TATCATTAGTTAGATTCGTACAATATGCTAAGCCTAGATATGGTCTGCTGGTTGTATAAATCTCTTACTCCTTTAGCACTGGAACATGTAAAAAGAACAATGTTTGTGAAAAAAGAGATTTCAGCAGAAGTAGCACTTTAGCAAATTGCATGGGCTAAAATGTCCTTTTCATCTAATTGGCCATTCTCTATATTTTCCATCCTAAGTTTGGGTCTTTATTAGCTGTTTACTGATGGTAATGTTACATGTAATTATGTTACTGAATTTCATCTGCTAGCTTTTCTTATATTTTTTTTAAAGCTTTGAACAGATATCCTTTAGGTACTTGGAATATTTAAGCTGTATCCTAAATACATTTATCAAACCGTAAATACCACTGAATCCTGTGTCCTTCTAAATCAGATAGTAGTAGTGAGGACTCTATACTCTGCCTATGTGAATTATTCTTACACAGTATGTACTATTTGGTGTACTCAGTTGACAGTTTCATTCACAACCGTTCCCCACTTCATATATTTATTTACACATTAACACTGTTTTTTAAAATATGTTTTATTATGATTGTTTTGCAATAAAGTAATTTATGATCGTAGTCAAAATTGAGATTTCAAATAAAGGATGCTCTGATTCCAAATTCTGCTATTAGCTCCATACCAAATAAAAAGGTCAAAACCTAAAAGAACAAAAGAAATCATGAAGTAATTCTATGTATCTCAAAGTTACTCAAAGGTGTGAATACAGCCTCTGGAATTGGGAAATATGTAAATACAGTTACACTAATAAGCGTATAAAGTGTTCACACCTCACACTAAATCATAATGTGGCTGTTTATTTGTGCTTCAGCATGTTGGGTGAAGCCAGCTATTAGTTTTTAAAGCACATATTTTGCTTGTTTGTGAAGTATGTAAATTATGATGCTTAACTATTTAAGGAGTCCATGAGTTAGCATAGTTTACAAACCTGTTCTCTAAAGTTGTGTTCCTACTTCATGTAAGCAGTAAGGTGGCTTACTGATTTGTAATTTTAATTGTTGTGTGAATCTACTCAATTGCAGTTTATATGTTACTATATATGTTGACAGCAATGAGAAACCTATATGCACAAAGATTGAAAGGTATATTAATTGCCACAATGGAAGAATAGATGGTAAAGACAGTAAGAGTTGGTGAGATGGCAAAATTGACTCCTTGAATTAAAGAGAAGAATCTATCTAGTTTTGTTTTTACTTGGAAACCACTTCTGGACTTTGAGCACAAAACTGAAAAAAGATGAAACTTTGATTTTAAGTTTTGATGACTACATTGACTTTGTTGCTATAGAAATGATTAGAAGTGCAAAGCAAAAAGTTGAGTATGTAGCTTTTTTTCTTCTACTCTCCTGAAAAAAAACAACTGAAAGTCACTACTTATTTTTCTTTCTTTGTA